TTAAGTCCTTTCTTAGACCCATAGATATAAGCCTGCTTTTCTTCCTGATTTAACTATGGACAATCCTTAATTCTGATTACTGTATTTCTTAGAAATGGTTTCCAAGTGAAAGAAGAAAGAGATATAAAATTTAATTTCAAGAATTTAAAATAAGTGGATTGACTCAGAACTGCATTTTATTTTCAATTTGTTCATTAGCTTGCTGTTTAAAAATGAGCAAATATATAAACTTTTTTATCTGTTTTCTCACTTGCATGTTGGAGACAATAACAAATACTTTCTTCAGTTGTTAAGACTATCACAAGACAATAAACTTAAACTGTTAATAAAGGTTTGGAAAAAATGAAGAACTATATGAAAATAATGAGATATTGTCATTAATAATCATAACTAGCAATATATAATATTATATTGAGTAGTAAACAGTAGTATTTGAAATTCTTAAAGTATGAATCAAACCCAGTTAATCTACCATGTTCTAGCACACAACATGTGCTTTTTGTTGTTTTTTTTTTTAAGAAATTCTAGAGCCAACTTGGATACTGTTTGCTAACCTTATGTCATCCTTGAGAAAACAGTTTTCTCCCAGATGGTCATTCAGAATAATTCTATATTTTTTCCATCTCATTTCTTTTTAACTATAACTTTTTTTCTATGTACCATTAGCCCTTAATTTTGTGGGGTTTTGTATCTATAATTCAACCAACTGTAAATCAGTGTTTTGAAAAAAAAATAGTATCTGGACTGAACATGTACAGACCTTTTTTTTTTTTTTTTGGGGTCCAGTTGTGGGGCCTGAACTTTGGGCCTGGGCGCTGTCCCTCAGCCCTTCAGCTCAAGGCTAGCGCTCTACCTCTTGAGCCACAGCGCCACTTCTGGCTTTTTTCTTTTTGCTGATGTGGTGCTGAGGAATGGAACCCAGGGCTTCAGGCATGCAAGGCAAGCGCTCTACCACTGAGCCACCTTCCCAGCCCCATGTACAGACCTTTGTCTAATATTTGTCCCCTAAATAATACATTCATTTACATTGTAGCAGTTATTACAAGTAACCTAGCAATGCCTTAAAACAGAAGGGAAAATGTATGTTTTACATAATTACAATGCTATTTTTAATAAGGGGTTTGAGCGTCCATAGAGTCAGTAGTTGTCGGGGTCCTGGACCCAATTCCCCATCGGTGCCATAGGCTTTTTAAGGGTAAAATCTATTTCTTAATTCTATAAAGTATAAGTATACTTATTTCCAAGTACACAAAGCAGAATATATTATTTTACTCAATCTTAACTCCTCATGCTGACTACATGCTAAAAAACTGATAAATAAATTCTAATATTTTGTATAGCTTTTATATATTTTAGAAGTTAGCAATATTAATTCATTCCATGGAAGTACTTGATTACAATATTCTCATGGATATATTATATTTAAGGAGAGTTTTATGTGTTCATTTGTACTTTTGGTCTTTCAGTTCCAGTGTGTTGTCTTTTTTGGTTTTGTTTTATTGCTTTTTTCTTTAATTTTGCTTACCAGAGCCAAAGCCTTAGTAGAAGAACAACGCCTTTTGTTCCTAGGGTTCAGGTAAAGGCCTTGTCTGCCTGATAGAAACTAAAGTGTGTTTTATCCCCTATTTGTATGTTTTTGGAAAATGCGTAGTAGGAAAACTTCCTTTGGTATGTTGCTCCAAACCATATTATTGTCTTTCAAATCATTTTAGAGCCAGCTTGTAAAATTCTGCATGGGGATTAGAATACTGAAAAAAATTTAAAGAGACAATCTTTTTTTAATGATTTGTAAGACAAAATACTAAAACTTGTAGGGTTCCAAGTGGCATTAAATGTAGATTTATTGTAGTTATTACTTATGTATGTAACATTTTTTAAAATATCTAATTTTATATTTTTGGACATTTTTCTCTATTTCACTAAGGTTGCTGTCTCTTTAAATCATTCATTATACCACATGACGTCTACATTCTCTTGCATTTTCCAAGCAAATAAGTCCTTGAGGAGATTGGCAAATATATTTGTACCTTATTTAAAGTATGAATTTAATATGAAAAATTCTAAATTTTGGAAAGCAAATTGCTTTGAAAGAAAAAAATGACAATCCAAATAAATTGAGTTAAGTTTATTTAATTTTTATTCTGTCACTCCATTTAATTTTACCATAATACTTGGGTACAAGTTATTTGTCTCTTTTCATTAGGAAACCCTTACGTGGTAAAGTAATGTCAATATAGTATTTCTTTTAAGAAAGTAGTATTATTCCTTCCTTGCTTTGCTGCATGTTTTTAAAAATATTTGTTGGTTTTGAATAGTGCTTATTTTATTTATACTTAATAATAAAATCATTCCAGTTAATATTGTACACTATTAAGTATTTATGCTGTTCAAGTTCTACTTAGGAAAATTTAAGTGGTTACATGGTAATGATGAAATAACAGTTATACAATTAAAATGATAACAAGGCTTTTAGTAAAGAAACTAATTGAATATAAGGACTGTCATGAATAGAATTTTGAAGATATATGTTGCATTTGAGGGAAAATCACTAATAATATTTTAATTATTTACTCAAAGTATAGAAAAATTAAGAATATGGTAAAATATCCTATTAAGATATGTTAACTGGATATCTATTAAAAACTTCAATGCATGTGCTGAATAAAAATGAAAATTAGGTTTATTGAACTTAAGGGAACTTATTAACTTAAGGGTTATCCAACTTAAGGCAGCTTTTTAAAATAGATTCATTTTGATCAAATAATCAGTATAATTAAATGTACTTTTAGCCTATCAAATTTATTTCAATACTCGTTTATTTGGAAAACATAATTTAGTTAATTATAAAGAACAAGTAAAAATGAAAATCTATCCTAATGTCTATTTCAATGAGAAATGGATAATATTAGCAAGTGATTTTTGTTGTTTTCTTTAGTGTAAGAAAATCTCCAAAGAATACTTATTATCAGATGTTTGATATATAACTCAAGTGTTTAATTTTAATTATTCTATTGAGTGAAATTATTGCCTATGAAGATGGCAACAAGTGCTTAGTGTCCTTCAAAATTCTCACAAATCAATAATTTGCTCAAATTGTTTATAATCTAGTCCTATAATTGCTATTTCTTTTTCTATTGTAAAATTTTCATAAAAAACTTAACCTTTCAGAATATTTTTTCACCCTTAAAAGTTCCTGGTAGTCATATTATGATCATTTGAAAAGAATTTTTAATATCTTGCAAAAATTAAAACTATAAGCATTGAAAATGGAAAATAGAAAATATTAGAAATTTCATAGACCTTGATCACATATTTTAAAAAATGGTGACACTCTCTACATCTCTTTAATCCATGTACAAAGAGACATCTCCTGCATTTCTTTCTTTATATCTTTTCATGACTTCACCAGGAATAGTTTAGTCTCTCATCTCCTCACTTATTCTTCTTTAGATCTATATTCTATTATTGTTCAGAAATAAATATTTGGCATTTTTCAAATATTAAGACTTTTTCTCCAAGTTATTGATATTTTGGTCTAAGGTCATGAGGATCATCTGGAAGATTTATTAATTTAAATTCCAAAGTCCCACTCTGATTCAGTAGGTAAGAGGTAGGCACAGGAATTTATAAGTGTTTAGTAAATAAGACAAATAATACTGCTACTGGAGATTTCTTAAATACAGTTTGAGAACACTTGTCTCAGGTATATTTTTGAGGTTAGTAGCTCTATTAGAAAATCTTTTGTTACATGAAAGCAATAATACCTAAATTGAATGTAGAAATGTAACACATTGTAAGGGCTTATAATAAGAATCTTTAAGATTTGAGTATTTATTGCCTTTATTTCTAAAAAAAGGATAATGCCATTTAGCAAAAATAAATGGAGGGGACAGAAATAATTTTATATATCTTTTTACACTGTCAGCCTATCATTCTCTAGCATATGAAGTGAGGGACTCCACAAAGCTACCATGGAATTGGAACTGAATCATCAGTGTTTCATATGTAACCAGAATTCGTTTTTACTTGTAATTCTCAAGGCTAATTTCTGGTTACATTTAAGTTTCAAGATAGTGGTCAGGGATATGATGAATTATAAACAAAGATATGGATCGAAGCCATAGTTATCCTGGATCCTTGCAAAGGAGAATCAGCTAGCTAGGAGCAAAGGTGTGAAGTATGTATGCAGGAGGTCATCACCAGTAAGTCAAAGGAATTCAGTAGTTGGATGTTAAGTTCCAATCCCTCATTTTATGGAACAGCAAAAATTACAAGTTCAAATTGTAAAATGGAATCTCTTTTTCTAAGGATACGATGCATTTGCTTCACAAAAGAAAGCGGGACTTTATGTCTACTAAAATTTTTAAAAGGTGAATTTATTATAGTTTTAAATGCAACCTTATCAGGGGACAATGCATGAAATATGGAAATTCACAATGAAAATCCTTTATACAAGTTATATATGTTAATAAAAAATTAAAGAATACAAGTGGAGGGAATCTATTGACTTAAAGCTGTTTTAAGACCCCTTTGCATATAATCACTGACTTTTTTTGCTATGGAATAATATAAAACATTTGCTCAAAAATTCCCTCTGAATACTGTATAAATAAGTTATTATCTACTCAATTCATTCTGGGCACTTATTCTGAACTTGTTATAGGGGAGGCAAAATAAACTACAATGATTCTTGCATAAAGAAAGATACAGAGAGCAACCTTTGTATATAAAGTCCATAATTATGATAGTGTAATTATTGTATGAATGTTAGTAAGCAATTATATTAGAATACAAAAAGCCAAGTGACACTGTAATGTCTGAATTATTTATTTTATTCATTGAAGTTATTATAGTATATCCTTTTTAAATAATCACAGTTCACTGAATGAAATTTAGATTCTATGCTAATATTAGTATAAGAGAATGGCGTGAAGGTTGGAAATGTAAACATGTATTGTCAGTAAATATTTGAGCTGATCATGAATATTTTTGCTTTTCAGATAAAATTATGGTTTGACAAGGTTGGTCACCAGTTAATAGTTACAATTTTGGGAGCAAAGGATCTCCCTTCCAGGGAAGATGGGAGGCCAAGGAATCCTTATGTTAAAATTTACTTTCTACCTGACAGAAGGTAGGGATATGCAACAATTTTTTTTTCTTAAAACTAAGTGGTAAAAGCAACCATTGTTTTATAATTCTATATTTGTTTGTGTTATACCTATTAGATTCTTTTTAAGTTAATTTAACATAATTATTCTAGAAATCAAAATAGTGATTGTAATTTGAGATTGTTTTTAAACATCTTTGTTCTATATTTTATTTTTGATCCAAATTTTGTTGTATATATTTTATATTTTAAGTATATGTAGATTATTTGTAAGCTATTGTGTGATTTTTACTTTAGACAATTAAAATTTACGCTCTTTGTAAATCACATTTTTAATACAAGCTATATTGTCATGAACTGTAAAATGGTATTAAAAGGTAGTACTAACTGGGCACTGGTGACTCACGCCTGTAAGCCTAGCTACTAAGGAGGCTGAGATTTGAGAATTACGGTTCAAAGCCAGCCTGGGCAGGAAAGTTTTTGACACTTCTCTCCAATTAACCACCAGAAAACCGGAAGTGGCGTTGTGGCTCAAAGTGGTAGAGTGCTAGCCTTGAACAAAATTGCTTAGGGACAGAGCCCAGGCCCTGAGTTCAAGCCCCACAGCTGACCCCCCCCCAAAAAAAATCAAAAAACCCCAAACCAAAAAACTGGTGGGCACTAGTGGCTTTCATTTGTAATTCTAGCTACTCAGGAGGCAGAGATCTGAAGATCACAGTTTGAAGCCAGCCCAAGCAGAAAAGTCTGTGAGACACTTATCTCCAATTAACCTGACTAAAACAACAACAACAAAACCTGGAAGTGGAGCTATGGTTCAAGAGATAGAGTGCTAGTCTTGAGTGAAAAGCTCAGGGACAATGCCCAGGTCTTGACTTCAAGCCCTAGTACCAACATAAAAACAAAACAAAACAAACAAAATAACATTGTACTTATGGTCTACAACTTCTCCTCCTTTATGAAGATATTTTCTCACTTCATTCCATAAACTTAGTGACTGTGTAATTCATCATCTAAACTACAAAGAATTCCACAAAAGCCTGGAGTCCATGGCTCAAACTTATAGTCCTAGCTATTAAGGAGGCTGACATATGAGAAATAAGATTCAAAGCCAGGGTGAGCATACAGGTATTAACTGGAAACATATTTAACATGGTAGAATACCAGTTGTGAGGAAGAAAGGCCAAGGAAGAACATATGGCTTAGAATTCAAGCCCTAGTATCACTACTAACTAACTAACTAAATAACAGAAAATTACTAAGCCCAGATTCAACTTCACGCACTATTTGTTTTGATTCTATTCAACATACATGATATTTTTCTGCCCTTATTTAAGCATAAAAATAGAATAGGAGAAATATGCTGTCAAAATCTAATCTTAATTTGAAGCATATAATAACCAAAGGACCATTCAAAGGGAAGTAATTACCCTTCCCTCGGTTATCTTCATCCCAATTTCTAAGAGAGTGCTCTCAAAATTATGTCATAAATTTTCAGGTTTGAAATGCTCTGCACAGCTACCACGTTTAGCATGTCCATATATTTTTAGACTGTAGTTTACTTATTTACTTAGTTCATTGAAAACAGAGTTGAGTTGAGTGCCATGGTATCATCTGCATTACAATGAAAAAGGACAAAAGAAATGACATAATAATTAGCCAATTACAGTTTATCTGATACATTTTTTTAAAGTGAAAATTCTATAACAAATTCTTCAAAATAGGTTAAGGTGCCTGGTATCCACAGTTATTGAAAACTGTTTGCTGTATTATTTTATATCATGAAGTTACGCTGAAGAAAATTGTTCTCTATCAACTTAGAATGTCTTTTGGAGAAAAAAAAACATATAAACTGTAAGAGAGAAAGAAGATATTCATAATTACAGCTGTCAGAAGTATAGAATTCAATTGAGTGGAAATTGTCACACTTAGATTACCATACCACCATTGAGTCATATGGAAACTGGAAACTTCTGAGCTAGACTTCCCATCTATGAGGATGACAAATAATAAATTTGTGAGGAAGTTTTACTTGGCTTCTGAGAAATGTTAAGTTAATAACTAATAAGACAAATCTTTAAATCTTATAGAAGTTCACACGTTGTTTTTTTTTAATAGTGATAAAAACAAGAGACGAACAAAAACAGTAAAGAAAACACTGGAACCCAAATGGAACCAGACATTCATTTATTCTCCAGTCCACCGGAGAGAATTTCGGGAACGAATGCTAGAAATTACCCTTTGGGATCAAGCTCGAGTTCGGGAGGAAGAAAGTGAATTCTTAGGAGAGGTAGCTCAAATTATTATCATTTTGATTGTTGGTGATACTGGGATTTGAGACTTTTACTTGCTAAGCATCTGCTTTATCACCTGAGCCATTCTTCCAGTCTTTTTTTGTGTGATTATTTTCAAAATACTGTCTCACTGTATGCCTAGGTTGATCTGGACTGCAGTATTTCGATTTGTGCTTCCCTTTGTTGTGACAAGCATATGCCACTAAGCCCAAACATTGTGCTACTTCAAAACACAATTGACTCAGCCATTGACTGAGATGGAGTCCCATGAATTTTTATACCCAAGCTGGCTTAAATTGCTGTCTCCTAATCTGTACCTCCCAAGTAGCTAAGATTATATAGACTTGAGCCATCACACCTGTCAAGATTAATTTATTTTAAAATTTGCCCTATTCATAGCTTTTTGAATACTTTTAAATTACTAAGTAAAATTATATATGTGTGTGTACATATATCTGAAAAAGGAATTTAACAGAACAAATTTGGTTAATTCTTTAAATAAAACAGAAAACAGCGTTTCTAAGTACTTTCTAAAAAAAACTGGGTGTGATAGTAGTAGAATATACCTAGCTACTAGGGAAACTATGGGAAGATCATTTTAATCCAAGAGTTCAAAGCTGAGCTGTACAACACTATTTTTTGTGATACTGTCTCAAAATTTGAAATAAAATAAAGGAATTAAAAACTCTATGGCAGGGCTGGGAAGGTGGCTCACTGGTAGAGTACCTTGCATGGATGAGGCCCTGGGTTTGATTCCTCAGCAACACATAAGCAGAAAAAAAACAGAAGTGGCACTGTGGCTAAAGTGATAGAGTTCTACCCTTGAACTGAATTGCTGAGGGACAGCGTCCAGGTCCAGATTTCAGACCCCACGACCCACAAAAACAAAAACAATAACAAAACAACAACAAAAACAAAAACAACTCTATGGCAGTTTTTACAAGCTTACATTTATTAATTATGCTAGTGCTCATCTGGAATCTTAGTGTATAGTCAAGGGGATTATACATTTTAGGCCAGCCTTGGGATAGAGAACAAGACCTTATCTCAAAACTGTCTGAGGGAAGAAGGAGAAAGGAGAAAAGAGGATGTTGGAAAAAGGAGGGAAGAAGGAAAGAAGAGAAGAAAGAAAGAAGGGAGGAATTCTAAATGTTGAATGAAAAAGTTTGATTTTTATTCCACATATCTATTGCTCTGATGTGTTGTATATGTTTTATTTAGCTTATTGAATCATTATTCCACCAGTAGGTAATTCAATAATTTATTAGTGGATTATTTTTAAGCCTCATATCAAATCAAGAACTATGCTGGGGCATGAAGCTTCAGTGGTGAATAAAGTATATTGCTTATTTCATAGAATTGATTCATTGGGGATATGTATTAGTGAATGGCAATTAAAATACAATTGCTTAAAATGTAATACACTAATTGCTTTAATGAAGAAAATGCAACTGGAAGACAATTGCTATTCATAAAATGGGGGGTGATTAAAGGAAGTATCCACAGGAAGTAGAATCTAGCAAAGTCTAGAGGAATGATATATACGGTTTTGAACAATTGCTTTGAAATTGTGAGGAGAAAGTGGTTATCAGTGAGATTTAAGTATTAAATTGGTGCCAAATGATATCCCCTGTATTTTATATATTACCTATTTGTACTTCAGAAAAGTAGAAATAATACTAGTGTATAACTCAAGGTTAGTATCATGACTAAAGAAGTGTGTGTGTGTTGTGTGTGTTTGTGTGTAAACATTTTAACATAGTAGCTATGATTTGAAAATGGCTAGAGAAAAATTAGAAAGAGTGAAATAATAGATTTTCTGCTCTTTTAACTTTGTACTTAAACATCTCAGTAATTTACTTTCCATACCAGGTCCCCTTAACACAAGTGCATACTGTATACTTGTTCAGCACTTGAAAAGAAAAAACTCTTTGATGTCTACAGATGGTTCCTTGGGTTGCAGACATGGTTCCGGTAGTAGAACACCAAGCCTGACAACAAGTTCAGAACACCAAGTTCTGACACCAGTGTGTCAGAACCTGAGTTCAAGTCCTTGTCCCAAAGGATAAAAACAGACTGATCTTCACTTAATATTAAGTGAAGTAAGCCAGACCCAAAGAAACATAGGTCCCATGGTTTCCCTTATTTGCAATAACTAGTATATATCTGAGACAAGCAGAAATGGTCAGATAAGTTGATGTTAGGCAAAACGAACCCCAAGATAAGGACTCAAATAGTTTTTCTTTCTTCCTATTGTTTCTAACATATTTATAAGATATTTCGTTGTTGCTTTGTATGTCCCTTCCCCAGGGTACAACCCCTGCTTTCACTGTATTTGATGTTGGTATAATTTGTGGAGGGGAAAGGGAAAACAAATTGTTTAAATAGGGATACAGGTGGACCCATTGCAACAATGAGATGTACAAGACGTTATGTCGAAAAATGAACTTTACAACTTTGGTGCGGGGTGAGGGGGACGTAGCGGGTAGATGGGAAGGGATGGGAAGGGGAAACAAAGGAGGAGGCAACAATGCTTGATAAAAAATGTACTCATTACCTTGCCCATGTAATTGTAACCCCTCTGTACGGTATTTTCACAATTAAAAGAAATCTTACGTGACCAAAAAAAAAACCAGACTGATCTTTTTTATAATTAAAATTGTTCATATTTTATTTTAATTATAAAAAAGAGCAGTCTGTTGATATAGCTTATATTAAAGACCTATCTTTGTAATTTTTATTTTGTGGATATTTAAAAATTGATAGTTGATGATTGTACATTTTCATGTGAATGCTATATAATGTTTCAGTTTTTGATCCTTAGGATGGTAAACACAGATTTTTTTTTTTTTTGTCGGTCGTGGGGCCTGAACTCTGGGCCTGGGCGCTGTCCCTCAGCTCTTCAGCCCAAGGCTAGCACTCTACCACTTGAGCCACAGAGCCACTTCCGGCTTTTGTCTTTTTGCTTATGTGGTGCTGAGGAATCGAACCCAGGGCCTCAGGCATGCAAGGCAAGCACTCTACCACTGAGCCATCTTCCCAGCCCCTAAACGCAGAATTTTGAGCATGCATTAATAAAGACAGATTGGTTCATTTTGCTTCTTTTACTTAGAAGCTGGTATGATCTTCAACAAGTGCTTTTAACCCTTTATATTATTGGAATCTTTAAGACAAAACAGTATTTTTTCTGATTATTAAGATAAATAATGTGGCATGGTTCTTATAAGTTCTCACGAAGGCTAAATTGCTAACTACGAATAAAAGTGCATCTTAAATTAGAAAATGTTATATGAATATTAGGTACTATTGCATTTTCATGTAAAAATTTTATTTCTGATAAATTTAATATCCTCTAGTATTGAGTGGGTGATGGTTTACAAAACAAGTGTCTTAGCTATTTTAAACTATTGAATGATTATCCATGAGCAGGTGGCTCATGTCTATAATTCTAGATACTCAAGAGGTTGAGATCTGAGGATCATGCCTCCAAGCCAGCCTGGGCAGAAAAGTCCTTGAGAATCTTATCTCCAGTTAACCAAAAAACAAAATGAAACAAAAAGCCAGAAATGAAGCTGGAGCTGTGTCTCAAATAGTATAATGCCAGCCTTGTGTGAAAAAAGCTAAGTGAGAAGACAAGGCCTTGCGTTCAAGCCAAGGTACCACATGTGCATGCGCACATACACACACACACACATTTAGATCATTTCGAAGTTAGAAAACAATTATCTTTTAGTTACTGTTGAAACATATTGGTAGTTTTTCAATACCTAAATAACTTTGCTTTTGATCTGACAGCATTGTTATTGCAATTATTATTAGGAAAGTTGTAAGGAAAGTTTAAGAGAATTTCTTCACTGTTGATTTAACTTTGTCTTTTGGGTTGTAGATTTTAATTGAATTAGAAACAGCATTATTAGATGATGAGCCACATTGGTACAAACTTCAAACCCATGATGTCTCTTCATTGCCACTGCCCCACCCTTCCCCATATATGCCACGAAGACAACTCCATGGAGAGAGCCCGACCCGGAGGTTGCAAAGTAAGTTTTCAGCAGAATGTACCATATTTTTATTGATTCCCCCCTATCTTTAGTACACATATCACAGAAGTTGGAGGTATCCTTGCGGATTTTTAACAAGTATCTATTAACATCCTCACAGCTATTATTGAGGCTTTCAACTGACCTACTAATGTGGTTTTATCTATAGCATTAACTCATAAAATAGGATTAGGTAGCTAATATAGTAATATTTCTACTGAGATCATGAATGTGACTTAAACTTTTCAAATGCTTTCTCTACACCTATTGAAATAATTTGCAGTTTATAGCTTCAATATATATAAAATAACACCTGAGAGAAAATTTAACAAAGCCATTTCTTTTCTTTTTTTCTTTTTCTTTTTTCTTTTGCCAGTCTTGGGGCTTGAACCCAGGCCTGGGCACTGTTCCTAAGCTTCTTTTGCTCAAGGCTATCATTCTACCATTTGAGCCATAGTGCCACTTGTGGCTTTTTCTGTTTATGTGGTACTGAGGAATGGAACCCAGAGCTTCATGCATGCTAGGCAAGCACTCTACCACTAAGCTACATTCCCAGCTCTAACAAACCCATTTATATTGAAGGAAGTGCCAATATATTTCCATGTTTATCATAAAGTCAGAAAATAAATTTTCAAGAAAATACAAAAGACTAAAAAAACACACATTACAAGTTTAATCTCATTGTTAAATGGAGTTATGTGTAACTAAAATTGAATTCAGTGGCCTACACTGTTGAAGGCAAAATTCCCACCAAGTATGTTTCTTGGAGCAAGAAATTCATACAAGCCAGCTGGAAAGGAGATAAACAAGACTTCAGTCCTAGGTGCAACTCCAGCCTTGGGACATCATGTCCTGTCTCAATATAAATGCTTCTTGGCCTGGTGCTGGTGGCTCACACCAGTAATCCTAGCTACTCAGGAGGCTGAAATCTGAGCATTGTGGTTCAAAGCCAGCCTGGGCACCACCAGAAAATCAGAAGTGGCTCTGTGGCTCAAAGTGGTAGAGCATTAGCCTTGAGCAAAAAGAGCTCAGGGACAGTGTCCAGGCCCTGAGTTCAAGCCCCATCATGATCCCCCTTCCTCCCCCCCAAAAAAAAGAAAAAAAAAGTGCTTCTTGCTGAAACCTTCCCTGGGATTCTGTGAGTGTTGTGGCTCCCATGTTGTGTAACTTGCCCTGCTTCCTTAGAGCTATGCTGGAAGGCCCAGTTGAGTAGGAGTAATCGCTTCTGGAAGGCTTGAATGCTGAGTGAGGATTCCAGAACTACTTGGACCTTTAATAATATGTATTTTAACCGTAAGGTGTTTAACTCTTCTTTTGAAGTTTTGGCCAGTTTCTAAAAATGCACCTTGAGAAAGAAACTTCTAACATTGGTTTTTAAAAACAAAACAAAACAAAAACACAACTCTGAGGTAATCAATACCTGATACACACACACACACACACACACACACACACACACACTCACACACTCAGATTAACAATCTCAATGATATATACTGATTTTTTCCAGACATTTAATAACCGCTACATTTTTTGCATTAATGAAGTATGTGTAAAAGGGAGTAAATACTCATTTTGCTCCTTTTTCAAATAGTGTTATGTCTTCTATGTATGTAGACTCATACATCCTATTGCCTAAGTATGTGGGTAAATGTACTGATAAACCAGAGTGCTACTTAAAAAATAATAATTCTTTGATTTGTAAAAATATTGAATTCAGATTCCTCTATTGTATCCAAAAAATATTTATAAAAAGTTTTGACATACTATTCCACAATTCATTCTTTAAATCAATTTCAAGTTGACTCAAAATAGCCTACATTCTCCAGTTGTATTTTATTTAACTAAGCCAATTGCAAAGAGATAAATTAGGAACTTTTGTAGTAATAAACATTTTAAACTCTGTCATCTCAGAAATGATACATCATTCAATTGATATAATAGAAATCTAGAACATGATATATAATAAATAATTTATACTCACAGAAGAAAATATCTAGAACTGAATTTCAATCAATGTATTGCATAGAAACATTTGACTAATACAGGGAAATGTTGAGAGAGGAATGTTTATGTTCAAAGCCATAAATAGTCTTAATTTATGATGTGTTCACCTAGATTAAGACTTTAAAAAGAGGTTTGTGAAATAATTCATTTTGGAAAGCATAAAAAGTATAAAGTTGATAAATTGAGAAACCTGTAATTGATAGGTTTATGAAGGTTAGTAGTTAAGCTTTCCTAACAAATAGCAGACTGTTAATGAAATTTATTAATAAAATAAAAGATGGTAGAGAATGGCAGTAGGGGTGACTTTGATCAAGAAGCATTATGCTCCTAATTTGACTTGTTGAATTGAAACCCCTTTGTACTACTACTTAAAATGAATGAATGAATGAATATAAAAAGAAGGAATAAGAAATGAACAAATGCATATAAGTATCAGCCTTTTAAAAATCTCTAGGGATTGACACTTCCAAATTGTCCTTTTTGTCTATAAACATGAAAAATAGAATGGGTATATCGGATTTCTTAGCCATACATATTAGGAAAAGATACATTAATGAATGACAGGCCTTAGTGGCTCATGCCTGTAATCACAGCTAGGATTGAAGTTCGAAGTCCAGGAAGAAAAGTACCCGAGACTCTTTTCTCTAACCAACTAAAGCCAGAAGCAAAAAGAGCTCAGGTACAGTGCCTAGGTCCCAAGTTCAAGCCCCACAACGGGGAGCGGGGAATAGATACATTAATGATCTTAAACATACATCACTTAAGTCTTGAGATTTAACTAGACTTTGGTAGACAACTGGTTTAGTTTCCAATAGACTTTACCAATCAACATCAAGTTATTTTACATAATTATCTCATACTTAATTTTTTTTGAGTCAGGGACTGTGCCTAGGCCCTGAGTTCAAGCCTCACAACCAACAAAAATTATTTTATTGTTATTATTAAGGTGTTGCACAGAGGAGTTTCGTAAGTCAAGTAATGAGTACATTTATTCTTGTGGACAATGTCACCCCTTGCTTTACTTTCTCCAGTTTCCTCCTGACATTATTTTTCTAAATAACTTTCATATTATTGTCATGATTTGCTTCATAGGATCAAAGAGAATAAGCGATAGTGAAGTCTCTGACTATGATTGTGATGATGGAATTGGGGTAGTTTCAGGTAAGATTTTTAGGATTATTTTATTATATTTTATATAGTGTTTTGACTATAGTATTTTATAGTGTTTGAGCTCACACTTTACTCGGATCATCCTGGAGCATTTATGCTTCCAACTTAGTGGGTCTTCCTTTGTAGTATAGCCCTGTATACTGTTGACTAGAATTCCCTGGAACCACAATCTTACTGATCGTAACCTCTACTAGAGACAAGAGGCATGAATCACCACAGTCAGCTATTATTTGAGAAGGGTTTTGCATAGTCCATCTTAAATCACAGTCCTCCGATTTTTAGCCTCTCAAGTAGATAGGATTATGGGCATAACCCACTATGCCATGCTTTCTACAGTATTTTAATAACATTTATACTCCTTGAATTCTTTCTGTATTAGAAATTTGAAATGATCATCAAAATCAAGATCATTTTACTTTCTGTGATTACTATATTTTAATAATAGTTATATTCCTTGAATTTTTCTGTATTAGAAATTTGAAATGATCATCAAAATTGATGTCATGGTATTTTACTTTCCATAATTATGATATATGTAGTTTCTTAGCTCATTAATAGAATGTAGCCAGTACTTCATAATCAAAACTTATACCAGCATATGTTGATTTTGTCAAATGTTATTCTTACAGTTCCTTTTCTTCATTGAGCTTTTTAATGCTCTATATTTAAAACTAATTTCAATAGAGAATAAGTGGTTCTATCCATAGTTTATCAAATAATTGCTACTATACTATTCAAATAATATGTTACCTAGAAAAATTGTTGTGTTGATTTATTTCAGCACTTTTTACTCTGTTCCATTTTCTGACCAATATCACAATGTTCTGATAGTTTAACTTTATATTGTCTTAAAATGTTGAGTAGTCAGTCTATTGACTATTCTGTTTTTTACCTCTCCATATAAACTTTAAAATCATTATCATGGTGGAGTTTTGGTTAAGATTTAATTGGATTAAACATCTCAACAATACCAAATCTATCTATAGACTTGGACTACCTCTCAATTTATTTAATTATTTTTTCTATTTTTTCATTATTGAGTTTTATTGCTTTCTTTTATATTGACATTGTACATAATTTCATAGATTATACCAGTTTTATTTCATTGTTTAAGTGTGTGTTATTAAAATGCTATTGTGGTTTTCATTTCAAATTCTAGTGGTTTTTTTGGCACAGGGGAAAGTGATTGGTTTCATATTTTAAGTTTATATTCTACATCTTTGGTATAATCAATTATTAAATCTTGAAGGCTTTTATTCTCCTCTAACAGTCTGGTTTTTGTTTTGTTTTGTTTTGTTTTGTCAATAGGGAGCTTGAACTCAGGGTTTAGGACACTGTCCCAATCTCTTTTGCTCAAGGCTAGTGCTCTATCATTTTGAACCACAGCACCTCTTTTGGTTTTCTGGTGGTTAATTGGACATGAGTCTTTTGGACTTTCATACCTGGACTGTCCTTGAACCAGTTTCTTTTCTTCATTGAGCTTTCTAATACTCTATATTTAAAATGAATTTCAATAGAGAATAAGTGGTTCTATCAATAGTTTATCAAATAATCAAATCTGATTCTCAGATCTTAGCCTCCTGAGTAGTTAGAATTACAGGTGTGAGGCACCAGTGCCTGGCACTGTCTTTTTACTAATGTACTTAGACCATCATATCCTCATTTAATAATCATATCATAAGCTGGGCACTGGTGGCTCACACCTATAAACCTAGCTACTCTGGAGGCTGAGATCTGAGGATTGCAGTTCAAAGCCAGTCCAGGCAGGAAAGTCCGTGAGACTCTTATCTCCAATAAGCCACTATAAAACTGTAAGTGGCATTGTGTCTCAAGTGGTAAAGCTCTCACCTTGAGCTGAAGAGCTGAGGGACAGGGCCCAAGCCCAGAGTTCAGGCCCCACAACCGACCAAAAAAAATTCATATCATCATGCAATATATAGTATATTATTATCTACCATATTTGTTAGTGTTTTATACTTGTTGCCTTTCTAAAGACTTGAATATTTATCCCTTTTTAATTATAGTTTACATAGTATTTTTCTTAATATGTTATGCTTTATTATACTTTACATTTAATATTTTCGACATCGGCTTCATCAGTATTTACTTTTACTAGGAAAACACAAATGGGTTGTTATAGATAATTTTGCTTTTTATTTTTTTGCCTTTAGATTATCGACACAATGGTAGAGATCTTCAAAGCTCAACATTGTCAGTACCAGAACAAGTAATGTCATCAAACCATTGTTCACCATCAGGGTCTCCTCATCGAGTAGATGTTATAGGAAGGACTAGATCATGGTCACCCAGTGTCCCTCCTCCACAAAGGTAATGTGGCAAATATATTTTATTTATAGCATAGAACTACAGCGTAAGAACAAAAAAAAAATCTCAAATCAGAACTATCATCTGACTCAGTCATCCCATTATTAGGTATGCGTTCAGACAAAAATCAGGGTATTATAGTTATCTACAATGCTTAATGTAGTATTATTCAATATGTCCCAATAACAGTAACTAAAATATGAAATCAACCAAAGAATCTATCAGTAGATAAATGGAAAGTTGGTACATTTTTAATCTAAAAAGGAAGAAAAATGGTACATGTAAAACATGTATAACCTTAATATACTGTAGGTGGAATGAAATAAATCAGACACTTTATGACAATTACTATATGATCTAACTATATATAGTTATGGAAACCTGAGTAAAATAGTGGTGATTTAGGCTAAAAGGTGGCATAGGAAAATGTTGGCCAAAAAGAGAACATATGTTAGGAAAAATCATTCAAGGAATATATATCAATGTATAGCAAATATAATATTTGAAATAATTTATATAATATAAAACATTTATATAATAATATATTTATTATATATATAATATATTGCATATATAGTTAATATGTAAATACATTTAATATTTTAATAATATACTTAAAACATAAAAATTATATAGAAATATATAATACAGTGTTATATATGTTATAGTATATAATTGCATTAATTCTATATAATTACTTAATTATGTAATGATTATATTCATCATATTATATATAAAATATCTGTTGTATTAACATATAGAGTAGAACACATATCATATATATTATATAATCTGTAATATATTAAGGTATATACATAAGTGTATATGTTTACATATGCTAGCTTATCTATATATGCAAGATTCTAAATTAACTAGCAACTGCTATTTATACTTTTAGATATAGGTATAAGTAGTTCAAAATGGACTAGATATAACTATGTCTCTATGTTCATATTTTTATTAATGTACTTTATTCTAACAGTTTATTAGCATATATAATAGATTGTTGTTGTTGTTTTTTTGAAATAGGAATGTAGAAAAGGGTCTTCGAGGGACACGTACTACCATGGGACATTATAATACAATTAGCCGAATGGATAGACATCGTGTCATGGATGACCATTATTCTCCAGATAGAGAAAGGTAAATATCATTAAGTACCATTAGGCTTTATTTATGATCTCTTGTCTTCAGGAAGTAGCTACCTTAAAATGCTTTCATTTAACCTTTATTTTATTTTCTAAAACCATGTATCTTCGTTATCATGTCCATATTCTTTCTTAAAACTTCCACCATGCCAAATACAATAAAACAAAAGCAAGTTTTTTTGTTGTTCCCATCCTAGTTGTTGAGCTTAGGCCCGAGGCACTCTCTGTGAGCCTTTGTGCTCAAGACTACCACTTTACCACTTGAACCAATTAAGTACCATAGTTTGGTACATAATTGCTTCCCTGCCCTGACTGGCTTCAAATCGTGATTTTCAGATCTCAGCTTTCTGAGTAGCTAGGATTATAGGCATGCGCCACCATCATCATGCACACAAGGAAATTATTTTAGTAAGAATAGAACAAAGCCAAGCCAAGCATTATGGCACATATCTTTAATCCAAATCCTCTGGAAGCTGAATAAGAGAATCAGCTGAACTATATAGCAAGTGCTACTTTTATACCATAGCACGATCCTATTTCTAAAAAACAAAAATTTCATTTAGCAATTTTGGTCCTTTTTTAAACTAGCTAACTTAGTGAATTTGCAAAAGAAATTATAATTTTTATAATGAAAACAAGAGTTTTATTATTTTATGTTATAACAGTGTATCATATGTGATAGCCTTCCATGAGATAATAGATTTTTAAAGACTTTATGTACATCAGAGAAATCAATGTGACTTTTCAGAGTCTTGTTTGTCTAGGAAGTACTTTATTATGATTCATGGAGATGTTTTTCCTCATGGCTTTCAGTAAACTGTTTAAGCATCTTAAAGAATCATGTTTGTTGCTGTATTTGGAAAAATTCTCTGTCATTACTATGACAAACTTGGAACTAATATAGCATTCTATTAATTACTACCAATTTTAAAAATGATTATAATTCATGCTTTGAAAAATTACTATGATTATTTTTCCCAAACTCACCAATGAATTTAAGATGAAGAAAGAAAGCTGAACATTCTATGTAGAAATTGTAATAAAATAGAGTGGGAACTTACATATCTTTGGGTGTGTATCCTAAACCAGTTTTAGAAAAACAGATAGGGATTTTAAAATAAAGTAGAATAAGAAATGATTGTTAATATGTCTGAGAGTAATTCTTTTGTTTGAATCTATATTTATATTCAAATAATGCTTATAATTTCATTGTGGTTTAGTACACTTCTCCAAATGAAGGTAGAGGATGTCTTGGTCCTCAACAGTGTCAAAATAAGGGATTTTTATATGTAGAATTTAAGAAGAAATGGAATCATTCCTATATTTATAGTATTAGATTAGGAAGGAACATTTATTGTATTAGTGTGAAATGAAGTTTTGCCTTCTTGTAATGATCTGTGCCTGCCTTTAATGGTGATTATAGGTGATTATAGGTGCTACCTATAGAATATGATTTTTATCAAATACAATAATAGTGAAAGAACAATTACTATGTGGCATGATTGAAAATTTGAAGTACTGTCGGTCGCCAGTGGCTCACACCTGTAATTTTAGCTACTCAGAAGGCTGAGATTTGAAGATTATAGTTCAAAGCCAGCCAGGGAAGGAGTCTGTGAGATTCTTATCTCCAATAAACTACTCAGAAAAGGCTGGAGGTGAAACTGTGGCTCAAGTGGTAGAGTGCTATCTTTGGGCAAAAGGAGTTCAAGCACAGCACACAGGACTGGCACAAAAAAAAACGAAAGGCTTTAAATTAGCTTGATTAATAGTTATTTGGGTTGTTATTTTGGTTACCTAATAGAATTTTAATAAATTTATTTTAAAGCAAGTCATACATTTTATGTTTATTAAGGATTTCTTAATGAAAGGATAAAAAGAGGAAAGTCTGAAATCACTTTACATTTTGTTTTCAATTTTGTGTAAAGTGACCTTTCATTAAAACTTGACTCTTTTTACTGAAAGCAAGTAAGTATGGTCTAAATCCTGCATAATATATTATGCCTAGTCACATTTGCAATTTGAGCCTCGATAATGAATCCTTTGTATTATGTAGTAATATAAAAATTTATGTATGTAATTGACATATTGTTCCATTTTTCTTGTTTTATTTTATAATTTATGAAACTTTTAACAAAATGTTAACATAATTATCTCTAAATGTTTTGGAGAAATTTTATTTTAGTAATCTTTTGGCATGATATAGAGATGACTAGATTGTAGTTATTATTAATTGGAAGGTGCCTTACGTCCTTTTTGAAGTAAATAAAATAGAATTTCATTTCAAGTTGAAATATAAAGGGTTTTGTGGTTTAGCTGTATAATCATTATGATAAACAGAAATCTGAGGTAAAAATTATATTATTATATATTCTTGTATATACACTGTTACATTATTAAATAATGGTGCCTTAATTTCAAATACCCTAATATTCTCAAGGAATTTTAGTCATAAAAATGTGTGTGAAAGTATTATAGTTTTAATGTTTTGTTTTGAAAGTGAGTATAATAGAGAATTCCTGGATGAATTTTCATGAATAACATTACATAGATTTGTGATGGTTAATCTTCATTACCAGCTTATTTGGACAGAAAGATACCTTGGAGATTTGTAAAACATACTTCTGGATGTGTTTCTGATGATGTTGCCCCCCAAAAGAACTAACTAAGTGAGGAAGACCTACTTGAAATGTGTATGACATCACTCAGTAAGCTGTGGGCTGATATAATAGAATGGGAGGAAGAAATCAGTTAGTTACAGACCTTCTTTCTCTTTCCTGGCTATCATGAAGTATACTCTTCTGCTCTGCCATGGAATGAAGCTATGAACCAAAATAAATCCTTCTTCCCTTTTTTATGCCAGGTATTCTGTGGCTGTGGCAGAAATTTCACTAATATAACAGATAATCTACTATACTGTTGATTTTAAAAGCTATGAGAGACTTTTTCTTGAGAAACTAATTTAGGCATTTGAGAGAAACATTGGCCTTTCCTGTCAAACAGAATGGATTTGTAGGATTAGAATATTAGCTTATTGAATATACCATTCTTTCATAGAATTTGGATCTTGCTAACTATGTATTTGGGGACATTTAATTTCCTTATCTATAACATTATAGTAATACCAACTTTATAGGGCTGTTTAATCAACATAATACCTCCCTCCAGTTCCATTTTTATAATACTCATCAGGTAGCCAAGTACCAAAAAGTGTAGCATCTACCCATAATTATTTCACCAAGACTTGCATTGTATATACTCAAACAATGTATCTTAACCTTAATGTTTTAAAAAGATGTTTTGACTTATAAACAATTTATATTTAATTTCTTAATTAAGCATAAATAAGCTGGCTTGTAATCCTAGCTATTCAAGATTTAAAAAGATTGAAGTTTAAAGCCAACCTGGACAGGAAAGTCCATGAGAATTTTATCTCCAATTAACTACCAAAAAGCTGGAAGTGTAACTGTGGCTCAAGTGGTACAGCTTTAGCCTTCAGCAAAAAAGCTCAAGGACAGTATTCAAATCCTGAATTCAAGCTCCAGGACAATAATAATAATATTAACAATAATAAATCACAAAAAACAAGAGGAAATGGTCAATGCAGGTATTTTTAAAAACTTAGAATTTAAGACCTCACTTGCAACTCTGAGGAATGGACATGCTTATTCAAGCAATAACAAGAGAAGAGAGAGAGGCAGAACACATACACCCATCATACAGGCCCACAATGTGAGCACATGTTGCAAAGTCTTATGTGAAAATTGGCTGTATTGCTGAAAAATCATTCTATTTGACATAAAACAATAGTACTCATTTAAACTTAAATGGTGTGATATCTATATTCTTATAATAGTTAATATAAAGTAATTGTATATCAACATTTTACTGGATTTTTTATTCTCTTTATCTTACAGTATCATTAATAAAAATCTTATCCTGTTTTGAAAAGAAAATAGATTTTTACAAACAATTCAGAAATGTACCTGAATGAATATTAGTTAATATAATGACTTGTGAAGAGCATCTTATATCTTCTCTATTCCATCTCTTGCAGCATTCTCTCTCTTATGAATCATGTTAACTACTACAACTAGGAACATAATTTTCCTTGGATAAGATGTGACTTTAGTATTGTCTTTATAAGTTGATTTACTATCAAGTATGCATAATACCAGATAATATTTTTATTATATGTCCTGGAGTATGCTTTGTAATGTTTGGTGCTTTTATTATTGGATACCTTTATTTCCTTGAAGTGTACATTTAACACCAGCATTTTAAGAGTATTCTAAGAGGAATATGTCTTAAAATATGGAACTCTGGAATGTCTCACACACATATACCATTTTATTTTTATTTTTTTGTTGGTCATGGGGTGCTGTCCCTCAGCTCTTCAGCTCAAGGCTAGCGCTCTACCACTTGAGCCACAGCACCACTTCCGGTTTTCTGAGTGATTTTTTTTGTAGATAAGAGTCTCACGGACTTTCCTTCCTGGGCTGGCTTTGAACCGTGATCCTTGGATCTCAACCTCCTGAGTAGCTAGGATTACAGGCGTGAGCCACCAGCGCCTGGCCACATACCATTTTTGTGTTCTGCATTAGGCAATCAGCTATTGTATAGTGTAACACATACTCATAAATGTTTAATCAATACTCTATTTGGTCCTTTCAATTAAGAGCTATGAGGGAACTATGTCTCAGAAAGTGTAAAATTATTGGTAACATGGAAACAATATTTTTTATAAAGTAATGATCTTATATGTAACACTTATGCACATAATTTCGATGAATCATACTAAGAATATTGTTGCAACTGTGAACCAAAACATGAACAACATTAAAGACAGAGTATAAGTTGTCATTAATTTGATGTAATTGGAAACAGCTTTGAAAAATTATGGGTTTCTAAAAGATATAATATTTATCCACATTTTTCAGTGGTTATTGTGTGTCTGGTGATACCTAAATGAAAACATTTAAGCAAATTTAATATAGAAGATAGATAATTCATTATAATGATGAACATGAGTATTTTGTGTTCTCTTAAATATTATATTGCTTAAAATCAAAGTGTATGTAGAAATTGGATTAGTAAGTAGTTCCAGTTATTTAAATAAAAATATTTTATTATGATTTTTAGAATTTGTAATTTACTTGATGATGATGATGATTATTATTTTTGTATGTGCGCCAATACTGAACTCAGGGTCTAGGCACTGTCCCTGAGTTTTTTGTTCAAGGCCACACTCCTACCACTGGATCTAAAGTTTCACTTCCGGCCTGTTGGTGGTTAATTGGAAATAAGAATTCTTAGCCTTTCCTGTCCAGGTTGGCTGTGAACTGTGACCCTCAGGTCTCAGTCTCCTGAATGGCTAGAATATATCAGGCATGAGCCATCAGCACCCAGGCTTTCTTTTTCTTGTTAAAAATTTAGTGAGCTAACTAGTTTTCTATTTTTTTTACAATGAATTCCTGTACTGTTCACATTTTTAAAAAATTTCACAGACATTTAGCAAAAATACAAGTTTTAATAACTTGCAATCATATTTGAGTCCTAATTCATATTAATTGACCAGCAGTTCAATAAAAATGTACAAAATATGCTCTTACATTAAATAAAAACAAGAGCTTTAAATACATCTTGGATTTTAGAGGGTTTAATTAGAACATAATGTCAAATTTTCCATAATGTTCATACATGTATTTTCATAGTTTTCAATAGAAAGTCAAGGAAAAGATATGGCCAAAAGATAAAGCATTAACATGACTAGTGACAACAAATCAATTATTTAAAAATATATCTTTGGCAGCATTAATTATTAACAGTCTTCAAGGAAAATACTAGAAATTGGATGATGATATTGTACCTATGAAATTATACACTTTCAGAAGCCTTGATATTTATATTTTTCTGTTGTTCTTAAGTATTTCCTCAAGAAATACTTAATACTTTGAAGCAATAAATCTCAAAAATCACAGTTGTTGAGAATTATTTCTACTGTTCATAAAGTTGAGACATTGGGGAGGGGCGCTTTCTTACTTTTATTTATTTAATACTACATAGGCCTGTAATGTTTTCTCTACATTTCTAGAAACGTTTTTTATGATTATGTGAATCATTACTTTCTTTGGAAAGATTTAAGATGGCAGTGGTATAATTTTGGTTTTACTTATAATTCAACAAAAATATAACATTGAGTGGTTTTAAAAACACAGCATGATCTAGACAGATACATTATCATTGGTTGACTAACTATACAATATCAAAGACCTGGAGGCTGAAACATATTATCTATTATAATGTTGCATTTACTACAGTAATATGCTTGGGACTGATTAGGAAGAAAATTACTTGTTTGTAATTAAAAAGAACTTCAAAGACGGGCTGGGAAGGTGGCTCAGTGGTAGAGCGCTTACCTTACATGCATGAGGCTCTGGGTTCAATTTCTCAGCACCATAAGCAGAAAAAGCCGGAGTGGTTCTGTGGCTGAAGTGGTAGAGTTCTTGCTAACACGACTGACAAAAAAAGAAAGAAAAGAAAGAAAAGAAAAGAACCTCAAAGAGAAGACCAATTTTTAACACTGAGTAAAGTTTTCAAAGGCAAAGAAATGGAAGAAAGGGGATGATAGGAATTTTTAGAGATTGATGAATCCAAACAAATGTTGGAAACCACATGATATATTTAGAAAGTATTAGTCTGTCAGTCATATCAAAGGTATTGCCATGAGGATGAGAAGTGTGGAAGATGAAGACTGAAAGTTAAGTTAAAACTTTTAAGAAATTTGTGCTTCTTTCTTGATATTGGAAACCATTGAAAGATTCCAACTGAAGTACCTATGTAATCAGAAAGCAAAATTTACAGATGTATGTTTTTTTTGTAGTTGGAAGGAAAGGGAAGGGAAGGGAAGGGAAGGGAAACCCAAGGGAGGATTATGCAGGTTAACATGTTAAGCTTGCTTTGTGTAGTTGCAAGAGAAAAGGAAAAGAAGGAAGGAATCTGAGTGCTTTCTAGATATCAGAGACAGCAATTTATAAATCAATTTAATGTTGAAAGTAAAGAAGTGGAGGAGTTAAATTCTGAAGCTTTATATAGCCATACTAGCTTCCAAAGGGGATAAATGAGTAATATTCAAATTAAAAATGACTTTAGAGATTTTGTGGGCCTATGTTCAGAATAGGTAGCTGAGTGGCAACTATGGTAGGTAGTTATGAAGCTAGATGTGTAGAGATCTAGACTTCTCACTCCCACTGTAGCCAATCATTCTGATTTTACTAGATATCTATGTATTGATTATACTTATAATTTTGTTTTCTCCTTAAAAGAAATAGAATGAGAAGGAAACAGAGGAAGAGGTGGAAGAGGAAAAGAGGAGGAGGGAGAAAGAGATGGAGAATGACTTTGAAAAGTACCGTTCCATCCCCTTTATTTCATAGCACCATATGTACAGAGAGACAAAAATGTCTTATAACAACTAAATGTTTTTCTAGAGTGTCTACCTGATAGTGAAACATGTGGAAATCCTAAGAAGCCAATTTAATATGCTGTGTAACACCCCTACCCCAAATAAGACTAAAGAAAGACAATAGTTTACCTATTATTTTGAAAAAAATAATAGGTCAAGGGATTATAAGAATTATAGGTCTAGGGATGAGTTTTGGAAAACCATCACTGCCTATAAAGAATGTTTATAACATATAAATAAGTACTTTGGGTGGTATGCAAATGTAGATAAAAATGTGTTAACTGAAAATACGAGGAGAGGGAGAACTCAAAAACAGTGTAATTCCTAAGAAAGGCAAAGTCATAGGTCAACAAAATAAACACCAGAAAACAGGTACTTGAGAAGAGTGGAGTCAAGGGCAAGGAGGTAGATGAGTGAAAAGAAGTGGGAAGACTGTAGTAAAAAAAAATTAAGTGTATATCCTACAAAATTAAGAAAAGTGAGGGAAGTGGTGGGTTGGTATGCATGGGAGAGACTGTTGAAAGATGCATTGTTTTCATAAACTGCTTTGTTGAATGGCAACTCCTTTGTACAACTACTTAAAGATAAAATTATTTTTAATACAGAGAAAAAAGTACAGAGAAATGGAATTTAGTCTGTAAAAAAAAAAGCTGTCAAGTATATATAAATGTTAAGAGCTTGTGTTTCAAATTTTGAAGTTCTTAGTTGAAACCAAGACCTGATACGGCTTACTGTATGAACAATCACTTAAGAGTCCCAAATTAAATGTGGAAATACTAGAACCTGCCTCAAAGAGTTGTTAGAAAAAGTAAATGAGTTAATGTAGACAAAACTTAATATATAGAAAAGTGTTAAGCTGGGTTTAATATCTAGAGAGAATACTGTTTCAGAAAGCAAGAGAGGAAAGTGTTAGGAAATAGAGGTTTGAAAATCAAAGCCTAATACCATAGATATGATTAAGAGGGACAAAAGGATGTTTTCAGATTTCATAGGAAGGAATTAATTATCTTTAAAGTTAGATTTAAAAGAGTGGTAGAGTCAGAAGTCTACTGCATTAACATTAACACTTAAGGAGTTAGGAAGACATGACAAAATTGTAACTGTCTTTCAAGATGTTTTATCCTGAAGTGTGATTAATGTGATGCTTTGAGATGGGTTCATGACTGTTAAAGGTCTCAATTTTAGGATTAATCTCTAATGAAGAAGGGAAGCATGAAGGAATAATGGTTGAAGCTAGATCATGTGATGAACAAGTAGAGGTATTTTTTCTAGTGCAGACTAGTGCAGAAGAGAATGATAAGATATATTTACTCAATATTTAGAGAGAGAATTGTGGTTCAAGGTTTTCTTGCATTGTTTTATGGAACAGTGATCATTGGCCATGATTGTTTTGGCTTTAAAAGTTTTAAGAAAGCAGACAATTTGAATTAGTGTCACAAAGTGAAGATAATAAACTTTAGATAGGTAAAAGGTCAGTGTTTTTTAGATTGCTTATGATAATCATGAAACATGAATGTGACAGAGCCAAAAGCATGAAATAAAAATAAAAGAGGCATGGCGAATGGAAAATAGGATAGCATATAATAAATTTAATAAACAACATAACCAAATGAAATAACTTACTTATTTTATTGGAGTGTTATTTTTATTCAGCAGGAAATAACTTTTATTTTGCTAAGTATTAGATGTTACCTTTTGAACTTTCTGATTGTTTTTTCTCTTTTCACTTTTCTTCCTAAGAAATAGGACAGTATCTCTATAATATAACACTTTCTAAGTGGTCCTGAAGTTATTTGAATCAATAGTTGCTAATATTTTAATTTTAAAATGTGATTTTGGAGTATCTAAATATTAAATTTTGTTGCATTTTATTTTAGAATATTTAGATGGTTAACTTTTAGGAAGATATACTGCAATGGACTTGGGGAGAGGGACAAGCTTTCTTATACCAACTTTCATTTGCTTTGCTTACGATCTGCTTATCTTTTTGGCTCTCACTTTTAAAACTAAACTATACTTTTTCACTTCCTCTCTAAGTCTCATTTATATTCTTGTTTCTGCCATGCTTGCAGTCATTTTCTTACTCTACCTCGCTCCAGATACAGTCAGAACATTGTGCATCATCACAGAGATGGCAGGTATATCTTTCTTACAATTGAGTGTGTTTGTAGAATTGCATGTTTCTGTCTATTATTGTTATATAATTCACTTTTGCTTCTGTTTATATATACATATGTATATATAGTTCAATAATGAAATGTAGAAATATTATTCTTATAAAGCAAAATATATGGGGCTGGGAAGGTGGCTCAGTGGAAGAGCGCTTGCCTTGCATGCCTGAGGCCCTGGTTTGATTCCTCAGCACCACATAAGCAAAAAGAAAAAAGCCGGAAGTGGCGCTGTGGCTGAAGTGGTAGAGCGCTAGCCTTGAGCTGAAGAGCTGAGGGACAGCACCCAGGCCCAGAGTTCAGGCCCCACGACCGGACCAAAAAAAAACAAAAAACAAAAAGCAAAATATATATAAACTAATTGTGATAGAATATCAGAAATACAGCTTTTCTTTGATCAACTAAGGTCATCTTTTTTCATTACCCTAAACTTATTTCACTAGGAATTACAGTATCAAGGATGAAATAATAGCATGCTTTACAAATTAATCATAGCTCACTTCCCACCTTCCTCAGGAGAGCATGTAATTAAATACTTAGTAAATATGTCTTACCAAACTGCATCCTTCCTTCTCTGCTTCAAAGCAGAGGAGTCTTATCTTTGAAGTGTTTATGTTGAACTGATTTATTTGTGGTTACCGTGAATGTGATCTGTTTAATAATAGAAAGTCTTGGATCTGTGGAAATTATTGTGTTTGTGAGAAACTCTTGTTCATTTCTACCCTACTGCTATTATTTTATCTGAAGTGGGGTTTTTCAGTAGTAATTAGTACACTCTAATACGTTAAAGAAACATGATTTATTTTGGAGAGAATTATCAGTTACTTGCCACTTAACAAAGAAAGGAGAGAAAATGACAAAGAGGGAAGAAAAAGGGTCACTGAAGTCTATAAAGTTCTCAAGGTTCTTTGTAGCTTTAGAGATTTGAGAGAGTACATTAGCAGCATTTAAAGAATGTGAGGGAGACAAAAGGATGACAGTGATAATGCAATGATGGGTTACTTGAGCAGAGATTAGAAGTTCTGTGCTTAGTCACCCTGATTGTTGTTTCCAAGACAGTTTTAGTTATATGTGACCTCCTCTATGTCTAGTAAATTAGTTAAGAGTTAGTAATAAAGAATTTAGAAACATAATATAAATTAATGGGAAATTTCCAAGATCTGTATTCATATGGCTGAAGGTGGAAGGAAATATGAAATAACATTAACAGAAAATAAATTATTTTTTTTCTGATCTTTCAATAAAATGTTATAGAAACAAGTAAAGTTTATTGCTGTAGTTTTCTTTTGAATTGATCTCCTTCATTTTATTTCTTTTATTTTGCTTTGTCTTTATGCTATAGCTGTATAGTACATTGTTTCAGTTGCAATGATACACATTCACCTTCTATAAATACAAAAACATAGTAATATGGATGTATCCTAATATTTGGTCATGGTTTTACTTAAGATGGGTTAGTGCATGAATGAGACCACATTCACTTTAGGCTTATTCTGTTTAATTTGGTACCTCTTCATTTCATTTTTTTTATTATGAGAATATTGTACAGAGGGGTTACAATTACATGGGCAAGATAATGAGTACATTTCTTATCAAGCATTGTAGCCTCCTCCTTTGTTTCCCCTTTCCATCCCTTCCCAGCCTCCCCCAGGCTCCCTATCCAATTCTTCGCCCCCCCTCCCCGCCAAAGTTGTAAAGTTCGTTTTTGACATAACGACTTGTACATCTCATTGTTGCAATGGGTTCACCTGTATCCCTATTTAAACGATTTTTTCCCCTTCCCCTCCACAAATTATACCAACATCAAATACAGTGAAAACCGGGGGTATACTAAAGTTACCAGCGCGACTATGTTTATTACAGCATTATTTACCATAGCTAAGATATGGAACCAACCCAGATGCCCCTCAGTAGATGAATGGATCCAGAAAATGTGGTATATATACACAATGGAATTCTATGCCTCCATCAGAAAGAATG